CGTCAATACATATAATAACATCATAACGGATAATATAATAATCAAAACGACTTGTTTCTTATTATGATAAGCCAATATATTACACATCGAATTGAGTCACAAATAACTTCTTTGTCTTTTTAAAATATTCATGTGTTTGTACGACGCGGATATTGTTTCATTGAAAAATCATTAAAATCAAAAAATGTATCTTTGGCTTTTTTAAAAGAATTTTTTCAAAACAGAACTTCGATTAAAAAAAAAAAATCGACGATTGATCAATCGTTACTGTATGCACAGAATATTTTTCCAATGTCGTCGCATATCTTTGCTTGAATCTTTGCTTGAAATATTACGTGATAAATATCTACTTCCAAGTTTTTCATTTTATCCACTTTAAAATCACGTTTCACTCTTGCTTCGTCCTTTCAGTAATGGGTTTCTGACCGCTTGGGTCGCAATACCATTATTTACTTTCACGTTTTAACTATTGACATGAAAAGAAGGTATGTTTACCTGCCAATAGAGCCGAAAGCCATTCGCCACGATGATTCGTTTGAAGGATTCTCTTCTCAAAAAAAGAAAAAAAAAATATTTTGTAAAAATTACTTCTGACTCAATCCAATAATTTGAAAGGAATCTTAATCGTGTGACGTCCAAGTCACCCTGTACAGGATGTTCGGCAAAAAAGACCGTAAGAAATACATTTCGATTAGAAGACAATTCTGCACAGTACGTCTTTTATGAGAATTTATCGTGAAAAAAGACACAGTCTAATTCTGTCCTGTCCGGTATAAGATATATCATTTAAGAATACTATACTTTGTGATTCTTCGTATATACGTATCATAAATATTATACACTTTGTACCTATCTTTGTTTTACTTTATCTTTGTACCTGACATATTTGCTTGCGACACTTTTGCAGACAACCTGTACATCGCATTGACTACATTAACTTAATGATTACCTAAACAAATTGTACAAATTGTACTTAAAATACAATCTAAACAAATTTTAACATCCCATACACTAAGTAATAATAATTGCTCTGTGATCGTCGCGTCTTTTTTTAAGAATTATTCGCGTAATAATTCATAATTAATATATATATATATAATTCTCTCTCTCTTTTTTCGTCTCTCTCTCCCTTCTTTCTTTCTATATATATTTATATATTTAATATCTTTTTATATTAAATTTTATATTAAATAATCATATAGCATTATCTTATAATTATTGGATTATAATAAAATTACCAAAAAGCAAAATAAAATCTCATAAAAATAAAAGAGTTTTTGTCGAAGCATGTTTCACATACAAAAGCAACAGTTACTTAGAGGCCTTGCGATATTTTTTTTTGTTATCTACTTATAGTGCATATACAATCTTCTCTTTAATATTACTTTACTCTTTACTATCTCTTGCGCGTATCCTTATCATTCGCGCATATATGCGCCCACGTGTGTGTAGAGTGTGTTTGTTAATAATGAAAGTGTAAGTGCACGATTATAGATTATTATTCGTTCATTTAGATTTGGCCCTTTTTCGGCAGAGTAAAAATTGATCGCGGCTAAAGGTTCTTAGTGTAACCGTCCATTATAAGATTAAAGTTAAAATCAGTCGAAGCCAGATTGCGACACCTATTTTTTTTTTATAGCTATTCTTCGTTTTCAAGATTGCATGTAAATACACAGTGTCACTTACTAATATATTGTGCGTTTTCATTTCAAATCGGAAATGCATCAGTTTTGATGTATTATAATATTCATGTATTGTGCATTATCAGCTAATTGTAATAGAAAAAATAATTTAGCTTTATTATATATAAGAAATAATAAAAAATTTTTTTTTCAAATATTTTCAAATATTAATTCATTGATATTAATTTCAATAAAGATTTTTTGATACAAGCACTTATCATGAGGATTCTATTCTATTTATCATCACTACATTCCATTTAAAGCAGATTTTACTTTCGCGCGTTAAAAATTAATAATAAGTATTTATAAGTCCTATAGGCACTAAGATTTAAATCCTTGCGGACACAGTTTAATATATATCGCACATAATATCGCATATAATAATATAGTAAACTATAATAAAACAGTTTTAAGATTGAATTTTAATTTCGTTAAAAATAAGTTTTTATTTTGCTTATCTATGCAAATGCTTAAATTTCCTAAAAGTAATTGATAACAAACTGCTTTGAAGACAATTTAATATTTGCCTCAAAATAAGCAATGTTTATTTTTAACAGAATCAATTTTCAAAATTTAATTATAGCTTTAATTATAACATGTTTGACGCTATATGAAAGATGTATATTCATAAAACAAAAAATAGATGTGTCAAATTTAGAAATAATATCGTGAAACATTGGATACCACATGCAGTCTTAAAAGTATTTGCACAACGTTGGAATGCAATTCGTATATCTTGTCACCAATCAGAGTGTCTAATTCAACCTGGCTTTGTCAAAGAGATATTACGGTCAATGCTAGAATAGTTTCTAATACTATTTTCATAAATAGCTTGCACGCTATGAAACACCTATAACGTTCTTGGGTTTTATAATTAAAATAGAGATATATGTATATATATATATATATATGGTTAATCGTCGGCATTTGTGATAACGTAAATAATAATCATTGTAACAAAAAATTAATCTTTCACACATACACTATTTCCATTATACGTTTAAAAAAAATTAAATTGAAAAACTTGGAATGTTCAGAGTATTTTAGTTCATTTTAGTAAAATTAAAATTTAAAATTATATTTGCTTATTGCTTATTGACGACGTTTCGATCAATCGAATAAAAGATTGTCACGATTTCTACAAAAACTATAAAACCCAAAACCCGGAGTCTAATTGGCAGTATAGTATTGGACATTGCGCCCAGCGCAAGGTGCATAGCAGAGCTGCTGCGGTAGTCAAGAATCACGGAGAGCCCTTAACCGTAACGAGAAAAGAATTTTTAATGCGGCTTTGATTAAGTTAGTTGCGGATGTTACACGTACGTGGCCATAGTACCAGTCGGAATGGGTGGTGTCTCCTCTGGTCTACCTTTAGGTCCGTATTGTCCGATAAAGGAACCATCCTCCGTGAAACGCCCTATAACAAACAACGAATCATTTATATAAAAAATATGTATAAAAAAATATGATCATGCCTGTACATACGTACAGAAGTTCCAGTTTTTTATCTTAAAATGAAATCATAATAAATATTACCTTATAAACGTCAGCATGTCAGAATTTTACAAAATATTAAACAAATACGTTAATTTTCGAATTGATTCTGTGTCAAAGCATAAAGGTGCAGCGATTAAAATGTTAAAAGAATGTGCCTGTTGAACTTACCTTAGACTAGAGTAGCAAATGCTTGCGAATTTGGTTCCTGCTTACGGTGTCGGCCATATTGACCAATGAAAGAACCATCTTCGTTCATGCCCTCTATGTTGATTCAAACGATGAAGCAAATAAAATATATAACAAAATATGCATAACAAATTAAAAATAATAAGATAATAAAATAATTTAAAATAAAAAAATAAATGTTATTCAAATGAAAACAATTAGCTTGCACGATTAAGTCTGCAATGTGCATACAAAAAAAAAGCACTCATATGACATACAGAAAAATTGTCAATAAACTAGCTGTGTTTACATGAGCAATGTCTACATAATGTGATGCTCACTATTTCATTGTGTTTTCTATACAAAAATATTAAAATGTTACAAAAGTTCGGTGCATTTATTATGTTGCAACGATAATTTCAGAGTAATACATATTCTATTTTACTAGAATAAAATTCTTCTACATTCCTTTTCAATTCTTCTATTCTAAACTGATATTTATTTATTAACTCAATTTCTTTTCTTATGCTGCTTTTTTTATTATTTTATCATGTATAAATTATAAATGCATAGTATCTTCTTTTAATCGTTTTTTGATTCTGCATAAATTGAATATGTAGCATTGTGTGTATATGCTATTAGAATATAAATAATAGTCTTAAAAAATTGAAAATAGTTTGTTTAATCTTGATAATTTGAAATTAGAGGGATCATACGCCATAACAATGCATGTACATGTATAGATGCAATCGTACGATAACAGTTATTATAATACCTGATAATTAAAAAATCGTGCAGCAAATATTTAACCACAAATTTTTAGCTATCGTTAATTATTTTTAGCTAATATAAAAGAAACTTTTTTAAAATAATATAGATGTTTTAATAATTTTAAATCATATCATTAAATCATATAGAATTTTAAACTTATCACCAACCTGTATCACCATCACCATATTCTGCCATAGAATCGGTATCGGACTCAGGATGTTTACCATCCTGATGCGAAGATGACGCCAAGGATGCACGTCCACCGGCCGATTTGGTATCTAATGGTTGTGAATACTCATGGAATCCACCCTCATCAGGATAATCTCCGCGTCCAGCAGCTAATTCTCGTTCGTGCACTGCATATTTTCCGCCCCTATTTCGTTTAATCACGCAAACAATTATCAACACTAAGAGGAGAATGGCGATCGCCAGCATCATTCCTGTGGAAATATTATATTTTTGAATATACCGATCGTCAAAAAGAACAATTTAAAAATAAAGAGATAGACGTTACCTATGAACCAGCCAGCTGTCGCGACATTTTCTTTCGGTTGAATAATAGGTCCTTCGCTACTCGTCTCTACTTCTTGAGGAGCACTCTCGGTCATAAAATCTCCATCGACAGCAACAACCGACATCACATAGACTTCACCACTTTGAAGACCACGAATCTGTGTGATTTAATAATTTTTAATAACCATATGATTGTTTACCTCGCTTTATAATAAAAATTATTAGAATATAATAAAGTATAATCAAAATGTACAAATTTAATGGACATATTAGTCACAGTGCAGAATTTAATATGCAAAATCTGAAAAAATTCTGATTAATGTGACTTGTTAAAAATAAAATGGTAGAAAATTTCGTAATATATAAATATACAATCATGTATTATTCATACCTCGAGAGTATTCGACTGGAATTCGGGATCCGTCATCAAAGATATCGTTTCGCCTTTTAGTTTATATTTGACGAAGAAATGGCTTCCTGGATTACCATTCAGATTCGGTAGCCAAATAACTCTTACATTCGAAAATCCATTCTCTGGTACTGTTTCCCATGTAAACTGTGGAACATCGGGTCGTTGAGATATTCTTGTCTTCTGCTCGATGAAGTAGCTATACAAATGTATTAAAATTACATATAATTAACAAAGATAAAATGATAAAATAATGTATCGTCTTATAAATGTTACTAATAACGTTTTCGATTGCAGTAAAAGCACTCCGAGAGTGATTAATGACATCATATGATTTGTGTTTTTGTTGTTAGAACTGACTGATGATCAAATCAATTATAAGGTATCCATCCCAGTTACAAGTCATTTTAAGAAACACATCAACAATTGTTGATAATAATGCTTTATATATATATATATATATATATATATATATATATAT